TAAAGAGATAGCAAGAGAAAAATTATAAAGTAAAGTTACAAAAAATTTAGGGGATATTACTAATTTCATAGCAAGAAAACACAAAGGGTTATAAAAAGCATGGTACAATAAATGCAAAGTCCAAAATTTTTGATTAAAAGCTCACAAATTATATCAGTGCTTTTAAAAAATACATATATAGATATATGTATACGTACTATAGATGTATATAGAATATGCAACTGTATGTATATAGTTACACACACACACAGAATTTTTTTATCTTGTACAGTGGTCAAGATTGACACTCACCCTGCAGGCTAATTAACTGTGGTAACAGACATGTGCTGAGTATGGTTGTCATTTAGGAGGCATTATGAATATATTATAAGCAAAACCAAATGTTCTATATTATAAGAAAGTTCCAGTGGAACAGGTATCAAGGCCAAGGGCATCTGCACAAGACTTATAACATAACGTAACAAGGCCAAGGACATCTGTACAAGATTTATTTCATTAACCACAATGCTTTTAGAGTGATAGTACACACCCTAATACAGAAGGAGTGATTCAAAATCCACCAAGAGTTAAAGGTCAAGAGCCAAAGTCAGTGTATCCCAGGTCAATAAGAGTTTCATCCATCATTTTGTTTTTCTAGGGATAATAAAAGAGTTGATGTACAGAACACCCTGTTCCAAGTGCCCCGTGATTTCTGACAAACAAGTACTACCAGGGACTAGACTTCATTGCTTCATCCTTGCTCTGGCCGTGCTGGTGGGTGGCAAAAGCCTTTTGCCTGCACTTGACCTCCAAATTTTTCAAAAGCACTGCTGTTTCTAGTCAGAGCTCCCCATAACTTCACATCTGAATAATTTTTCCTGTAGTGCATGGCTGTGATATTGACAAACTGGACTAATGAGAGCAAGTAAATTGCCATCGGTTTAACAAAACACACCCTTCTAAGAGAATATCTACAGTTATTGCATTTAGGACATAGTCACAACATTGAAATGACATGTGAGAATCAATACAAAATATTTATTTTTTTTCCATACCACAGAATTCTTAACCCCAGAGCCACACTATAGATTTCCCAGAATTGTAAGCAATTAACATGTTTCTAAACAATGCAGTCCAACCAGAAATGAGGATAATTTCCAACCAGCAGGGGTGCAATATATAATAGGTTCCCATGAGAATGAATCTCTGATTAGCATAGTCTTTAATTCTCTCACGGCCACTCCATCAACACAAGAAGAAACCACATATGCACTCATGCCACTCAGCTCAGAAAAGTTTAAAATAAGGTCTGGCCAATGGAGAAGGAAAGGTGTCCACGGTTTCAGTTAATCAACAGTGGGCACAGAAGAGGATTCATTTCCCTTGGAAAAGAATAGGGCTCCTTTCATATATTCTTGTGGCCAGAAACTGGGGTGAATTTCAGCAGGGTAATGAATGTAATAGGAGCACCATTTCTCCATGAACTCTTATGACTTTCATTTTAACTTCTGATAATAGTGAACCACATGTATGCAATCTTACTGAAAATGATAATCACAACCAAAAAGTTTCTATAAACCTTTTATAGATATCAAAGGGATGCATGTTCTGACCTTGAATTTTAGGGACTCCTTAGAAAGTCTAAACTTGGATTAAAGTAAACATAATACTCCAAGCTAAAAAGCTCAATGAGCCATTATAAAAAATCAGCTCAAAACATCCAAACAATGACTAGCTAGCTAATGTAGTTGTTTTTTTCCTGCTTTTCAGTTGTAAAGCTTTCAATATCTCAGATTAGTGTGTATGTTCATAAAACAATGCTGTTATTTTTATAACAGCTGCTTATTAAACAATCAAATTTTAGCTCAAGGGCAATGCCTCTTGCTAATAATCACAGAAATAATTAACTGCTATGAAACAAGAAGAAAATACACCCAGCCTCAATAAGAAGACAAATCTGGAAGAGTTAATCTGTTTTAAAAGAGGTTAAACAGGATTATTTAAATACTATGGTACAAGTGCTCCTGCTCACTTTATAACTGCAGAAACCAATTTTGTCTGCTAGATCACCATTATCTTTGCTACTCTGTGTAAAGACCACCACTCAGAAGTTACCCTTGTGCTGAACAACATTCAAATCCCTTGTTTGGTCAGTACAGAATATTGAGAGGTGATGCACGTGCAAACTCTTCCTGAGGAATCATTTATGTGTGCAAATTTGCAACCCGACAGAAAGCATGGCAAACAGCAAGGGAGTGGCAAGCTGTACAGGTCTAAGCACTGGAGACATGTATGCAGTGTTTACGGCCATGGATGTCCATTCTTCTGCAATCTCATTTACCTATAAATTAGCTTTCATCCTAGACCCCAAAGGAAGGGAGGGTTAACTGCTGCAAATTAGTAAAAGGAACAGGAAAAAAAGTAACCTTTCCACAAAATTTAATAACACACAACTCATGCATTCAGGTTTGTGTTTCTTTTTACCAACTCAGTCTAAGAATTATTAGGCTAAGAGTCACAACACCAGGTTCTGTGTTTTGCCCTATAGAAAACAAAGTCGTAATTCCTATCAAGTTAAGGTACAGCTGAGACAACACAGGTCATGAAATGACACCGTTTCTGAAGCTTAAGGCCAATCTTTAAAATATGAATCATTTCTCAAAATAATTGTTAATCTATCTAACTTTACATGTCATTACTTCAAGATGACTGATCTGGCTTTCTTTTTAAGGATCTAGTTTCAGGTTTCATATACATATTAGTCAGTTTAGCCATATCAATTACATGTGTTACTAACCAGACAGACAATCAACCTGGATGTGCAATTTTCTGCCTTCAATATTTGGGCCTTCAATGATTTGGTACAAAAACCAGTATTTAACTGGAGTGGAAGAAACTGTATACTGCACTGGCAAGAAAACATGAGAAGAAAATACTTCCTGGCAAACAGCGCTTAGTCAATACAAAATTGGGAGACGGTGCATATTTTATTTCCTCTCATGTTGCAAGCTAAAATTTTTGTTAAGAATAAGTAAGCATAAGCAAAGTCAATTTCGATTCAAGATAAAGAAAAATGTTCTTCATACTGCCATGTACCTCAAGGGGTCAGGTGAATAACATACACTGGAAGAATGTTGACACCTTTTCTATAGTGCCTTCTAATCAAGGCTTTGTAGTACCGAGCCCTGACTCATAGCTGGCTGCAGTCACTGTGCAAAAAGTCAGAAAAACTAAATTTTGCAAACTTACTTTGCCCACTTTTTGTTAATATATAAACAATAAAAAGAATATAAAATATTTCTCTATTAAGTTAATAATGCATCCAAAATTTTTAATGCCAATTCACATCATAATGCAATGCTTTTACAAGAAAAGTTCTTCTGTTTTTGGCCAAAAAAGAATGCTCTCTCCCGGAAAAAAGCACTTGGGTATATTATTAGGATACTGAAGAATTCATCTACATTTAAATCAACATTCCAATTTTATTCCTCTCAGAATATTATTAAAACTACTCAGGAGAAACTTCAGTTCCATGTGTTACTTATAAGCCTGCAGCAACTCCTTAAGAAAAGTAAAATTTGAATGTCATGATAAATCCTTGATACTAGAATGTTACTGGTATAGCAAATCAAACTGTACAGGTCACAGGGACAGCCTGTATACGCTCTTAAAGTACTTCAGTGTTCATCAATGCAATTCAAGATGACGCAGAGTTAAATTAGTCCAATTAAAGTATTCCACAAAATCGACCAACTCTGGTTGATAAGTACTTAAAAAATAAATCCGACAACCTTTACTTTTACTTCTCTCCATAATAATTTTACAAATCAAGGACTTCTACTATCATGAAATGACTTACTTGCTCCCAATATCCCACTTCTAACTCTCCCACCCACCCTACTCCCCCAAAAATGACAAACTGAATTAGCAGAGGCAGCTGTTATGAAAAACCTGCAGATCAGACAGCATCCCTGGTCTGTTTTCTTTTTTGCCATCAAACTCACTGAAGAGGTAAATATTGTCAGTCTGATGTAGCCCAGAAGAGTGAAGCCTATGCTCAATTTAGATTCAAGTAAAATTGAGAAGAAAAGTTTTTTTCCCTTGCCACATCTTTCTATTTTTCTTTGCTTTTCAAAAACAGCTAGAATACAGCTTCAGAAACTTTTATGAAGAGCTAAATTGCACTGTGGGTGTGGAGGAACAGGAAATATAGTTTTGCCGCAGCTGGAAGGCGCCTACAACAGCAGTGCTACTTCTTCCCTATTACACTCAAATATAATGTTTAAAAGATGCATATTGCAGACTTTTAAAAAAGTAATTATCTCACTTATTTAAAGTGAAATGAATCAGAAATCCAACACCATTTATTGTATTTGGATATATTAATGGTATCTGCTTCCTAGAGCATTACAGGAGGCAGCTCTCAACAGTATAAAAGGGGAGCATTAATGCTGAAGTACCGCCCACCCCTAAACTAGAGTACTGCCAACACTATGGCAACCAGTGGCATCATGTTCAGTGACAGAGAGAATGGAAATGCTCTACGAGAGTTGGTCCCCAACATGAACATGAATATGCCCTAGTGAAGCAGGGGAAAATGTGACCAATGTACAACAGGTTTCTATTTTCCCACTTAATTGGGCATTCTGCCACAAAACGCCACAAAGTCACACCTGCCATCTTGGTGGATTAGTCTGGATACCATAAACTTCTCCAGGAGGCATTTTTGAGTTTGACAACATAGCCACACACTTGCAAAGTGCACAAAGCTCAAGGCACAGAGTAGAAAAAAGTTGTGAACTGAAGGGGGAAAGTTTTAGTGAAAGCACAGCTAACATTTTCCTTTAATCAGACTTTCTAATGCTAAACACAAAGACCAACTTAAAGGGGTTGTTCTGGTTATGGTTGAAAAATACTGTATTGTATTGATCTGCCTGGTTTTAAAGCAAATGGTATCTTGACATGTGAAACCAATATATCGAAGTGCCAAATCCACAAATGAACAAAACAAGTGCTTTAAGAAAAAAGATTCTTCTGCTGTTATATTTTTGGAGGAGGCTGCTGATTTTGGCTGTTGGATTTCACTTAGCAATGATCACTTTCCAAGATGCTTGTTCTTTTCAGAATCTGTAGATAAACTCATTAAAAGATTGTCCCATTTCAAAATCACCCCCAAGTCTAGCAGCAACTGTTTTTATGTTTTTGTTTTTTGTTAATTTCTGTTTTTTAAAATTACAAACCAAAGTAAGAAGTCCAACATCCTCTTCCAAGAACAGCTTTGTGACAGAGCTCCTGAGTGTCTGCAGGCCCCCACTGTGCTCTGAATACAGTCTCTGCAGCTCCAGTGTGTCCTCTTTTCAGGAGGAAAGTACATTCAATACGTTTACTATCTGTACCCTCTGGAACTTGCACATGCTGATGAGCTGTCTAGAAAAACATCAGAAGAGGAAAAAGGATGAAGAGAAGACAGCATGTGATAACAGCAAGAATCTGTGTATTGAACACACACTTTTCAACCCTCTCCCAACCCCTCAACAAAGGACTTTAAAAAGTCCCTCAAAACCATGTAGCTTGAAAGGACGTGAAAGGGGGCTTTTAATCAGGAACTGAGACTGGGCTATTATCTCATCCTAGAAGATGCTAAAGAATCTGGTGGCTTCTTGACAAATGCCTGACAATCACTACCACCAAGTGGACACAGCGCCATATGAGAACACCATCAGGACCACAGATATCATCATATTCCCTGATCACCACTGGCTGCCTTACATCAGAAAACCATCAAAACGGGAGGGACATCATTACTTACTATAAGCCAACTCATCCCCAGCTCTCTTCCGGGACTGGTCACCTCTAGGGATAAGAAAATAAGAGGTAGTCAACAGAACTGACAGACTTCACACATCAAAACCAAAGAAACAAAACAACATATCTGATAATGGAAGTATAACAAAAATATCAACAATCTATTTTAAAAGATATTAAATTTAAACATAAATAGATCCATTTATAGTCTGAATATTACTAGCTAAATGGTGCTGTCTTTTAAACATAGAAAACTATTAAATGAAGGCAGGCTCATCTATGAAGATGGTTTACACTGAGTTTTAGAAATAGATTCAGTTCAGGTGTGATGGCTCATGCCTGTTATCCCAGCACTTTGGGAGGCCGAAGCAGAAGGATTACTTGAGCACAGGAGTTCAAGACCAGTCTGGGTAACACAGCAAGATTCTGTCTTGATATTCTCCCCCCTGCCCCCCGCCACCCCCACCACCTGCCTCCTCCTCTCTCTCTCTCTCTCAGAGTACCCCTCAGAGAGAGAGAGAGAGAAGGAGGGAAGGAGGGAAGGAGGGAGGAGGTAGGGAGGCAGGGAGAAGAGGGTGGAAGGGACACTTCAAAATCTTCCTGTAAAAGCCCTATTTTGAAACCAAAAACTGCTTAAAGCCTTTGGGGGGGAAATTTCAGAATCTTAATATCCTTTTTTGCTGGTAGAATAACATGGACCTTTACACATATTAACCAGTTTATCCTCAAACACCTATGGAAGAAGTTCCACTTTAGAGTTAAGAAAATAGATGTCCTATGCTATCTATAAATCCTATTTTTGTCTCTCCAGCTTCTTAGACAGTAACCCAGAGAAATGACTAAAAATGTTTAATCAATGAGTAATAATGACCAATTCACTAGCTTTTTCTTCCCCAGTTTCTAAGCAGCTAAGATCTCAACAGTTGATCTCTTTTTTCCTGAAACATCTTCTTAAAGCTTCAGTGATGCTACAGCACACGTTCCTGACCTTCCTTCCATCTTGTATCTCATTCCTTTTTCAATCCCCTTTGCTGGCTCTGTCTTTAGCCATTTTTTCTTTTCTGTGTACATTTTTCTTAGTCTAGAATTATGATCATACCAGCCCTGTGGTTGTAAATTTTTCCACACGTCAGTGGCTCCCAGATTTATATATTCAGCTCTGTCTTCCTCTCTATACTTCAGATATCTAAGTCCAACTGCCTCATCACCATGTCCATTTGGGTAATTTATGTATGTATTGCATAGTCACCATGGCCAGAATACAATGTTGACTCTACTCTATCCCCATTCCTTCCTCAGTTGTCCATCTCAATTACCTAGGCCAAAATCCTTGGTCATCCTTGATTCTTCTCTTTTCTTTACTATGGAGAGTTCTGTCCCAAAACATAATCCAAAATCAACCACTCTTCATCAATTCTACTGTTCCAATCACAATCCAAATCACTACCACCTCCTTCCCTACATGACTGCACAGTCCAGTAGTAATATCAGTCCAGACAAGAGTCAATGTGATCTTAATTAAAAACATAAATAAAATTTGTTCATGCCTCTAATTAAAATCCTTCCACGGCTTCTCATCACAGTTTAAAAAAAAAATCAATTCCAATTCATTTCCCAGCCCTGTAACATGACTCCTGCCTACCCCTCCAACCTCCTTTTCCTCCACTCTCTGCCTTTGTTCACTCGACTTCAGTTACCCTGGTTCTCTGTCCCTTAGACATGTCAGTACTTTTGTACTTACTATTTTCTCTGACTGTGACCATGCAGCCTCACAGCTGTCTTCTCATCATCTGTGTCCTAGCTCAACTGTCTCCTCCTCAGAAGGCATTACATCACCAAGTTAGCTGGAATACCCTCCCACTACATGCCCTGACCACTCAATCTCTATCCCATTCTCTTCATAACACTTATTATTACCTGAAATTATTTTTTACATGTTTATTTGTTTCTCAACATTAGAGCATAAGTTCCATGGAAACAAGAACAAGAACTCTGCCTGTTTCATTCACCCCAGTGCCTAGAGCAGTGTCTAGCACATAGAAGACATCAATAAATATTTGTTGAATTAACAAGTTAGTGAATGATTAATAAATAGTCTCACAGATAGATTATTAAAATGCTAGCCTAAGTGATCATTTCCTGCTTTTGAATAATCTTCCAGATAACCAAAGTTTCCCACTTTCCTTCTCTGGTTATGTTTAGGACCAGAGCAATGAACCTCTTGCTAGGCTGGGTGGAAAGCCCAAGGATAGGTAGAAAATACCACATGACTTCTGAAGAGTTTTTCTCCAGGCACCACATTCACCATGAACTAGCCTCCAGCAGCCTAGAGAGCTCTAAACAGATCAGCCCTCATGCCACTTTTTAAACACCTCTGTTGTTAACACTACATACAACTAGCCGAAGTCAGCTTACATTGTTATTTTTATTATTATTTTTTGAGTTGAAGTCTCACTCCGTCGTCCAGACTGGAGTGCAGTGGCATGCTCCCAGTCACCGCAGCCTTGACCTGCTGGGCTCCGGCGATCCCTCCGCCTCAGTCTTCCAAGTAGCTGGAACTATAGGCATGCACTACCACGCCCAGCTAATTTTTTTATTTATTGTAGAGACGAGGTCTCACCAAGTTGCCCAGGTGGGTCTCAAACCCACGGGCTCGGGCAATCCATTCGCCTCGGCCTCCCAAAGTGCTGGGATTACAGGCTGAGCCACCAAGCCCGGCCAGCTTACATTGTTATTCACACTAAGATCATCACAGCAGCATTCCCCAAATATTCTGAATAAAGTAAGTTAATGATCATAAAGGAAGACAGAGAATTCTGTATCTAGAACCTCAACTTTTAGACAACCTTCATCCCCACACCTTAGAGGCTTAAATATAACTGAACACGCAAACATAATAGGAGAAAAATACAGATGTGAAAACAATAGGAGGCAAGAAGAAAGAATCCAAACGTGATGCACACAAGAGAATCCCACAACCTGGAAAGCTATCTGAAATCCAGATCCCTGCTACTAAAAAAACAGTGCAAATTTGGGGGTGACCCTTCTCAGCTAAAAGATCTAGGTTCTCACCCTAGGTTAATTAGATCTAGTGGTTACCTTCCATAGTGTGATTTTTGACATAAGACACCAAACTGTCACCCCTCCTCAATCAATTCAATTATGTAGGTAAGAGATAAAAAGAAAGGCTGGACGGTGGCTCACATCTATAATCCTAGCACTTTAGGAGGTCAAGGAGGGAGGATTGCTTGAGCCCAGGAGTTCGAGACCAATTTGGGGCAACATAGTGAGACCTCATCTCTAAAAAAAAAAAAAAAAAAAAAATCAAAAAATTAGTTGGGCATGGGGACACAGTGCTGTAGTTCTAGCTACTTGGGAGGCTGAGGCAGGATTGCCTGAGCCCAGGAGGTGGAGACACTGGTAAGCTGTGATCATGCCACTGCACTCCAGCCTGGGCAAGAAAGTGAGACCTCGATTCAAAAAAAAAAAAAAAAAGTTGCTTTCAGCTGATATGTTAATTCTAGTTTTGAAATAAGTCTACCTAAAGATCATAGTTCACAAAAATTTCAGCTCAAATGAGAATCTGTCCACTAACTGCAAAAGAGGATATATTTGACAACATTTAGATATACTCTTTTAAAAAGAACAATTGAAAGACTTACTCTGTGCCATGCACATTAAAGCTGTGTGCTGCCTATTCAGGACTCCTACATCACATCATCTTATATGAAAAGTATTCTGCAACACTGAACAGGAATCATGGTTAGGCATAAACCATAAAATGACTGCTCATATCAGAACAGCCAGGAACAGAATTCTTATTAGACAGTCTGTACTATTCTAACATTTTTTGCATCAGTGGACACCACTTCTTCCAAAATAATCCTAGCCGAATAACAATCAAAGAAGGTATTAAGTGCAACAGGGCAGAGTATGGAAGGTCCACACACAACAGCAAAAGGAAGCTTGCTATCACTGCTAAGTATGGAGTATGCACGTTCTTGCTGGCCAGTATTAAGTTCAGAAGTAGGTATAAGCTTTGGGGGCCTATTTTGTGTAAAGCGCCTGTCAGAATAATTTATGAGGCAAACTTTAACCCTCAAAGAAAATGGTCAATAAAGTGTTAATTTAATTATAAAATAGGACAACTACGTTTGTAAAATAAGACATTTTAATTTTATCACCTCTTGCAATACTGTCTAGTATTTATATCTCAACCAGAAGTAGTATAAAAAATTCCATTAAGAGGAACAACAATTCCAATTTACACCAAAAATCCAAGGCACTTCTCTGAATATAACCAACTTGGCTTTGGCTGAACAGTGCCACGTTAGTCCTTAATGTATAAAGGCAATGTTACCTCAGGTTATTTATGGAGTTATTTACTCATTCCAAGCAAATCTGACATAAGAACTACTATATACCAAGCAGTCTTGCACCCCGTTCTCTTATTTCAGCTTCAAAATTAGGATTAGGAAAATGTCTTTGATATATTTAAACAGTTCCACATGTTGTTCTAGAAGGCAAACTCAGCGTACTCAGAGAAGTCCACAAGAGCTATCTATATTCCTACATTACTTCACAAATATGTAAATTTGCTTTTTCTTAAAGGTATTCATAAGCCCATCCCAAATTAAAGGCAAACATTCAAATAAAACATACATAAAAGTACAAAAGACTTTAAAGTTATGGTGAGGATTAAAAAAAAAACCATGGAAGTTATACACAGAATATTTTGCATTATTTAAAAATATTCAAGGAAAAACATTTAACTCTAATTCAACATACATAAGTCACAAAAATCCTCTGAAAATCCAAAAATAGTCACATAAAAATAAAAAATAAACACCGTAAGACTTCTGAAGAATAACAACAACAAAAAAAATCGTAAACAAAGGCAAACAGAGAAAAACAGCTGTCTTATCATAGACAAAGAATCAATGTAAACTTTTTGCATCATTTTGATTGTTAAACCACACATACATAGCAGTCTTCAGAAATGGATAAGTAAAATTAATGGCCTCATTCTGTGTATGAAAACAATACCACTTGACATCCAGGAGAAAGACTAGCAGTTTTCACTGCCACTTCCTTCCTTAGCCACAGAAAGTTAGGTTTACCAGGCCTATCTACACAGCTTCACTAAAACCTTTCCATGTAAGTTGCCAGTGAGAGAGGCAAATGAACAGTGGATTACTCAGTAATACCACAGGCATACCAATGCCACCAGGACAATAATATAAACACCAAACCATGGAACAATGAAGAACAAATTACCTGCTTTCTTTCCTAACCTGTGCTAAAACTGAACACTTAGTAACAGTGATAATATTGGTCAAGGCTGATTTTTCTGAAATTCAGTTTAGCCTCAGAAAGATAAACGTCCATCCCCAGCCCTAACCAGATAAATGAGTCAACACTCAACCTACTATTTGTAGACACTGCAAGTGTATTCCTTTCCACAGCTTTCTTCCATAATGCCAGGGATACAAATAAGAGGAGATATGTAAAGGGGCTAAGAGTAAGGATTATAAAAATGAACAGTATTACTGTGCCTTTAAATGATCTGTTCATCTAACAGGTTATTTTCCCATATAGAATCACAATAATTTTATATTAATACATTTTAGAAAAAAAAGATTGTAAGATTTTATAAAACATGGCCATAATAATGAACTGAAAAAAATTTAGAAAAATTGGCAAAATGTATTTATAAAAACCATGGGAGGCAGACTTTCTGGACATGCATAAAGAGATGCCCTACTTTTGAAAAAGAAACAACTAGAAAAAGGAAAACATAAAACAAAATTTAAAGCCTCTTTGCTAGTTTAGTCATAAAGTACACTATTAACTCTGATCATAACATTTATACATACAATGTTTCTCCACATGCTCAGGACTCATATGAGAAAATCAAAGTTGGAAGAGCTCTTGAAGCTTGCCTACCTAACTGCCTAACAAATGAGAAATCCCTTCTTTAAAATAAATGCACATAATGAAGAGCAGGCTTCACAAAATCAAAATACAGTTTCAACATTTTCATGGACAAGCAGCTAACTGCCTCTTACAGCAGGAATATTCTTGGACAGTTATTTCCCATTCTAAGAACCCTGGCATCTCTTCTATACCAAGCCATATTGGCCTAGGGAAATGGACACTAAAGGAAAGAAAAGAAACCAACTTGCCTTGTAAAACCATTCTGTATAAGTTCTCTTTGAAGTTTCTGATCTTGAGCAGCATATTCAGAAAGTTCAGATTCCACTGCCGGAGGGAGAATGTTTGGAATAAATTTAGAAAATAGAGTTGGAGCCATCTGAACCCACTCTGTGAGGAAAGGAAAAGATTCATTAAGGAAATGATATGAACAAATTAAATTAAATGGAAAAGAGAAAGTTTTATTTTGTCTAAATAATAAAAATATATAGTAAACCAAATCTTTAAAAAAGGAAAAAATTAATGCAATCTCATTATGGTAAAGAAAACACAAGAAGCTAAATTTCCTTTCTAAAAAGAATTTACAGTATTAAGTAGACAATTTATATTTTACTGATTTAACAGAATTTAATGAAAAATCCTTAGGAAAATTTTTAAGGAATCTCAAGGAAAATTCTCAATATGGAGGAAAACACAAATAAGATTACCAAAGAATTGATTCTGAGTGGGAGGAGACATGGAGGGGAGAAGCTTGACAGAAATACCAAACCTATTAGCCATTAATTAACACCGTATATATAGCCCAAGAACAGAATGGTATAGATGATAATAAGCAGACATATAAAAAGAAGCAATACAAAAAAAGGGGTGGAGGACTAACAATTAAAATAAGTGGGCTGAACTAACAAGCCTCTGCAAAGCCAAATAAACCATCAAGAGAGCGGGCAGACAGCCCACAGACTGGGAAAAAATATTTGCCAACTGTATTGTCTGGCAAAGGCCTAACATCTAGGATCTACAAGGAACTCAAACATGCCGAAAAGAAAAAAAAACAAACAGCCTCATTACAAAGTGGGCAAAAGTTATGAACAGACACTTCTCAAAAGAAGACATCCACGCAACCAACAGATACATGAAAAAATACTCGGTTCTCAGTAGCCATCAAAGAAATTCAAATTAAAACTACACTGAGATATCACCTAACTCCAGTCAGGTTAGCCATCATCAATAACTCAAAACAAAACAGATGCTGGAGAGGACGTGGGGAAAAGGGGACACCCCTACACTGTTGGTGGGAGTGTAAACTAGTATACACTCTGGAAAACAGTTTGGCGATTCCTAAAAGATCTAAAAATTGACCTTCCATATGACCCTGCAATCCCCCTACTGGGAATATACCTGGAGAAACTAAAATCACTCTATGAAACAGAGTTTTATTGCATGTTTATTACAGCATTATTCACAATAGCAAAAACATGGAACCAACCATGCTGCCAATCAAAAGAGAACTGGACAAAAAAAAATGTGGTACAAGCCAGGCGTGGTAGCTTAAGCCTATAATCCCAGTATTTTGGGAGGCTAAGATGAGAAGATTACCTGAGCCATGGGTTCGAGACTGGTCTGGGTAACATGGTGAGACCTCGTCTCTACAATAAATCAAAAAATTAGCTGGGCATGGTAGTACACACTTGTAGTTCCAGCTACTTGGAAGGCTGGGGCAGAAGGATTGCCTGAGCCCAGCAGGTTAAGGCTGCGGTGGCTGGGAGCATGCCACTGCACTCCAGTCTGGACGACAGAGTGAGACTCCAACTTAAAAAACAAACAAGAGCCAGGCTCGGTGGCTCAGCCTGTAATCCCGTGCCTTTGGGAGGTTGAGGTGAGTGGATTGCCTAAGCCCGCGGGTTTGAGATCCGCCTGGGCAGTGAGACCTCAACTCTACAATAAATAAAAAAATCAGCCGGGCGTGGTAGCACATGCCTGTAATTCTGGCTACTTGGAAGGCTGAGGCAGAAGGATCACCGGAGCCCAGCAGTTCGAGGCTGTGGTGGCCGGGAGCGGCCACTGCACTCCAGTCTGGGCGACAGAGTGAGACTCCAACTCAAAAAAAACAACAACAACAACAAAAAAAAAGAAAACGTGGTACATATACACAATGGAATATCACGCAGTCATAACCAAGGACAAAATTATGAACTTCGTAGCAACTTGTATGAACTCACTCTATTTAAACGTGTATTCACACACATACTCCTTTTTATCGTGGGAAAGTTCAAACACACAAAAGTGGGGAAGGAGTATCATGTCCCCTATGGACTCATAACCCAAAATCAATTTGTGAGCAATAGCCCAGGACCATCTCTATCTCTCCCCACATCTCCCTTTAACTAGACTTATTTTGCAGCCAATCTTAGGCAACATGATTTATCTATTAATGTTTCTGTATACACTTTTAAAAGATAAAGATCTCTTTTAAAATTATATCTTGATGCCATAATTCTAAAATTATAAATATTAAATTCCTATAAACAATACCATTATATACCTGAAAATATTAACAATAATTATTTAGTTTCATTAAATTTCCAATCTGTATTCCAATTTCCCTCAATTGTCTCATAAATTTATTTTATCTTTTTTACAGTTTATTAGTTTGAATCTAAATCAAAATAAGATTCACATGTTGTGATCAATTGACATTTTCCTAAGTCTCTTTTTAATCTATAGGTTCCCACTCTTTCCATTTCTATATTCTTTCAAGTTATTTGTGGAAAACACCAGGTCGTTGATCCTGTAGAGTTTTCCAGTCTGTGTTTCCTCTGCATTCCTTTGGTGTCATTTAATATGTCCCTCTGTCTCCTGTATGTTTTGTAAATCAATCATTGGAACCGGGGATTTAGTCAGATGCAGGTGGTAGAATATTTTATCAGATGTACAATGTCTGGATGTCTCTGCTTTTGTTCTGCTAATAGTCATTAATGAGCATTGCCTAGATACATTATTTCTTAGATTTTACAGAATGATAAATTCTAATTTCATTATTCTTCTCAATTTATTATAAAATAATGAATAAAGAGAAAATATAAAGAAAGAGTTCACTTTGTCAAATAGTTGATTATCTTGACTGCATGATACTGCAGGATAAGAAAGGGAGGAAAAATGTTTGGTTCTGTTTTTTCCCTTTTTTTACTGATGAGTTGGTTACCATGCACCCTGCAAAGGTGGGCCAATGCTGACTTTTAAATCATGAGCTACTCATAGATTTCAACATATTTGTTATATTTTGAACAAATATAGTTCTTATTCTTAAATTAATACGCAAATTGCCTCATCTTTGACCAGACTAAAGGCTCCAGGATCTTTTTGACACATTTTAGTTAACTTTGTTCATTTCCTTGCTATCTAATATAATAAAAAGTTCTGGATTTTTCTCTTCATTTCCTGCTACAGGTTTGGAATCAACCACTTCTCCAAAGAGTTCTCTCTTCTTGTTGTTGGGATTTTTTTAGTTTTCAATTTATTCTTTCATTTTTAAATATATGCATAACATATATGTATGTAGAAACATTTTTTAATGAATGCATAGTTCTCTGCCATTTGAATATTTCACAGTTCATTCAACCAGCACTACTGATGAACATTTTGATATTATTAACATATAACTGAAAAATATAGGCTTTATGTATGCATCTTTCATATTTTTACCAGCAAATAATGCTACTATAAACATTCAATTATTTGTTAGAACATGTTTTTATTCTTCTTGGATAAATACCTAGGGGTGGAATTACTGAGTCATATGGTAAGTTATTTGGTTGAACATAGTGTTACTTGATTGGATTTGTTCTATTATTTTATTACTTGTTTTTCAAATGTCCACATTTTTAACTCTTCTGTTTCTCCTCTCTTGTATTTTTGGAGGAAAAGTATTAAAATCTTTATAGAATTTCATTTACATTTTTATTGGCTTTTTAGGTATATTATTTTTGTATTGTTATATTGGTAACTGCTCTAGAGATTAAAATATAAATCCTTAACTTTTTATAATCGACTTATGGCTATTGTTATTTCACTTTTTTAAACTGTAGAAAATATGTGATCATAGAGGTTCAGTTAATTTCTTCTGTCTTTAGTGGGACCGCATCAAACTGACAAGCTTCTGCAAAGCCAAAGAAATCAACAAGTGAGCGGGGAGACAGCCCACAGACTAGGAGAAAATATTTGCCAACTGTAAATCTGACAAAGGCCTAACATCTAGGATCTACAAGGAAATCAAACATGCCAAAAAGAAAAAAACAAACAGCCCCATTACAAAGAGGGCAAAAGATATGAACAGACACTTCTCAAAAGAAGACATATGTGCAACCAATAGATACATGAAAAGATGCTCAACCTCACTAGTTATCAAAGAAGTGCAAATTAAAACCACGCTGAGATACCACCTAACTCCAGGCAGGATGGCCATCATCAATAACACAAAAACAAATAAACAAACAAACAAAACAGATGCTGGAGAGGACGTAGGGAAAAGGGAACACTCATACATTGTTGGTGGGAATATAAACTACTACAATTTCTGTGGAAAACAATGTAGTGATTTCTAAAAGATCTAAAAATCGACCTTCCACACGACCCTGCCATGCTCCTACTGGGAATATACCTGCACACTCATGTTTATTGCAGTATTATTCACAATAGCAAAAACATGGAACCAACCATGTTGTCCATCGAAAGAGGACTGAATTTAAAAAATGTAGTACATATACACGAGGGAATATTAAGCAGCCACAAAGAAAGACAAAATTATAACCTTCACAGCAACTTGGATGGACTTAGAGTCTATAATACTGAGTGATCTATCACAGAAACAAAGAACTAAGTTTTTACTCATAAGTGGACCGTAACAATTATCATAATACTGTAAGAAAGGGATTGGCAGTAGTGGGGAACTACCAGGGGAGGTGGAGGGCACATTTCATTAAATGAATTATACACCACCTCTTTCTTTTTTTTGAGTCTGAGTCTCACTCTGTTGCCTAGGCTGGAGTGCAGTGGCACATTCATGACAACCACAGCCTTGACCTGCTAGGCTTAGGCGAACCTTCCGCTTCAGCCTTCCAAGTAGCTAGAACTATAGGCACGTGCCACCACATCTGGCTAATTTTTTGATTTATTGTAGAGATGAGGTCTCGCCAAGTTGTCCAGGCTGGTCTTGAACCCATGGGCTCAGATAGTTCTCTCACCTTGGCCTCCGAAATTGCTGGGATTATAAATGTGAGTCACCGCACGCAGCCCAAGTACCCCACAACTTTAAAATAAAAAAAAATTTTAAATAAGAATAAAAAGAAAATAAATAAAATAAGTGGGCTGGCGGTAACTTGGCTAATACTTTTAA